ATATCGGTTGGGAGGGGACCATAGGTGGTCAGAAATTCTGAAAGACGCTGCAACAGCGTATCCTGAGTGATGTCGGACATAGTTGCGACCAGAGCTAAGCGAGGTGGTGTTGTATTGGTTGGCGATAGAGGACGCAACCTAAGTATAACGGGGACTATGGGCGTAGGAACTATGAAGCCAAGGAATACAACCGAGGTGAAGACGTGGACGTAGGAGGTTCGTGGACTATGGACTATGGGGCCGAGGTATGCTACCAAGGCGGGAATCGTGGACTATGGACTATAGGGCCGAAGGGTAGACCTAAGGCAAGAACGGAGACTGTGGACTATGGACTATGGATGGTTGTACCTGGTCTAGTATACCGGGTAAACCCTATGACGTAGCGCGAACCAAATAGTATTCGTAACTGTAAAATACAGAGGTTGCGTAAAGAGAAAAGAGAAAGAAGAAGAAACAAGAAATCACAAGACAACGCCGCCCTTATATATCCATACCCTATCCCAATGCTGACTCATACCCTCGCATAACAGAAACAGAAAGAACATAATAGAAACTCACTTTACTAAACCCAACCACACTACATAATCCTTCTCCCTTGTACCTAGACAACTCACATAGCCAATCCGACTAGCTGCCGTTACAGAAACGAGACGTCCCGGCCCGGGTATTTGGATTTACGGGAGAAGTTATGAAGGGCACGGGACACGCCTTTACACAACCATTAATCATAATGTCAAGGGGGCATCAAACACAGTTATCATTCGAGATCGCCCCTCTCCCGATTGGCATTGATGCAATACTACCGAACTGGTGGTTGAAAGAACACAAGCCGGTTATAGGGTCAAATGGGGAAGTTTCCTACGATGGTGAGAACTGCAAGAGTCGATGCTTCACTGACAAGGAACCTCAAATAGAGATGGACGAGGGTGTACTGGACGATCCGGAGGCCCAATTCATCGGTAGCATTTGTCTATTGGAAGATGAATCGGTCAACCTTCGAGAAACCCTCCCCTCTTGGCTCCATGGGTTCCTTAAAGTCTTCCTACCATCGGAAGCAGACAAATTACCACCGCATCGATCCTACGACCATGCGATAGATCTCGAACCAGGGAAGCAGCCACCATGGGGACCCGTTTACTCCCTATCCGAAGTCGAGCTGAAGGTGCTTCGGGAGTACCTGGATAAAATGTTGCGATTGGGAAAGATTAGGCCAAGCAAATCCCCGGCAGGAGCCCCAATCCTATTTGTGAAGAAGAAGGACGGTAGTCTGCGACTTTGCGTCGACTACCGTGGACTTAACCGCGTGTCCATCAAGAACAGGTATCCGTTACCACTTATGGACGAACTGCGAGATCGAGTGGCAGGCGCGGTTATCTTCTCGAAGATTGACCTGAAGGAAGGTTATAACCTCATCAGGATCAAAGATGGCGACGAGTGGAAGACAGCATTCCGTATGCGGTATGGGCATTTTGAGTACCTCGTCATGCCTTTTGGGCTGGCAAATGCGCCGGCGACCTTCCAGAACATGATGAATGATGCGCTGAGGGAATTTCTGGATCAAGGGGTAGTAGTATACCTTGATGATATCCTAATATATAGCAAGTCTCGAGAGGAACACAGGGAGCTGGTTGGCAAAGTACTTAGCAGGCTACAAGAATACAACCTGGTCGCCAACCCGAGGAAATCGTTCTTCGAGCTCACCGAAATTGAGTTCCTCGGATACATTCTTGCCCCAGCAGGCGTCACCATGGCACTGGATAAGGTCATGTCTGTTACGAATTGGCAAGCCCCGCGGAGTGTTAAAGAAGTACAGATCTTCATGGGCTTTGCCAACTTCTACAGAAGGTTTATCCACAATTTCTCCGGGGTCTGTAAACCCATTACCGATTGTCTCAGGGGTGATGCTAAAAACTTTGTCTGGTCTATGACGGCCCAAGCAGCCTTCGAAAAACTCAAAACCCTATTTACGTCTGCGCCGATCTTGGTACACTTCTCTCCAGATCGCCAGACTATCGTGGAAACGGACGGAAGCGATTTTGCTATCGCCGCAATTTTATCCCAGGTTATTGACGGAAAGACTCACCCTGTTGCCTTTTATTCTCGAAAGCTTAACCCAGCGGAACTCAACTACGACGTCTGGGATAAGGAGATGCTAGGAATTGTGTCGGCCTTCAAGCAATGGCGTCACTACCTCGAAGGACCTAGCCGAACGGTTCACGTTTATAAGGATCACAAGAACTTAGAGTACTTCTCTACAACCAAGGTTCTTAACCGACGACAGGCAAGGTGGGCTGAGTCTTTGGCGGAATTTGATTTCGAGATTATTTACCGCCCGGGAACCAAAAATGGGAAGGCAGATGCACTATCGCGACGGCCGGAGTACCGTCCTGAAGGGGGAGGCACGCTTGGGAAACAGCCGATAGACAGGTTCTTTAAGCCCGGACAGTTGGCGGAGGAAGAGTTTGTGGTATCAGCGGTGTCGCTTGCCTCCAAGGGGGTGATTGACTGGTCTAAGAATTTTCTGGATCATGTCAGGCAGGCGGCATCGGGAGACCCGACATGGGTAGGATTGAAAGAGAGAGTTGAGCAAGGGGAGAAGCTGGGGGAATTGAAGGACATCGCTGAGAAAGACGGGCTACTCTTCTATAAGAACCGACTCTACATCCCGGCAGACGACCGTATCAAGATCCGAATTGCACAGGCAGAACACGACTCGAAAGTGGCAGGACACTTTGGACAAGACAAGACACTGGAACTCATCACGCGTAACTTCTATTGGCCAAAAATGAACGAGTGGATTGATGACTACGTTCGGTCATGTGACGAGTGCCAGCGCAACAAACCCAGCCGCCATAAGAAATACGGTACGCTTCTACCACTGTCCACGCCACATTCTGTCTGGCAATCGATATCAATGGACTTCGTCGTGCAGTTACCGGAATCAAAGGGATATAATCAAATCTGGGTAGTAGTCGATAGGTTCTCGAAGATGTCGCACTTCATTCCCTTAGTAGCAGAAACGACCGCGCAGGATTTAGCGAAGATATTCCTCGGTCAAATCTGGCGACTCCATGGGCTGCCTCTCGACATAGTTTCCGACAGAGACGCCAAGTTTACTTCAAGTTTTTGGGCATCCCTTATGGAATTGTTGGATGTGAGGATAAGAATGAGTACGGCTTTCCACCCTCAGACCGATGGGCAAACAGAGCGAGTCAACCAAACCCTCGAGCACTACTTACGAGCGTTTTGCAACTACGAGCAAGATGATTGGGCAGAGCTACTCCCGTTGGCGGAGTATGCTTACAACAACTCGGTTACCACCGCCACGGGCCAATCTCCGTTCTATACCAATTACGGTTACAACCCAAGAACCAACTGGCCGACGGAAGCTGAAGTGGTCAACCCAACCAGTGACCTGTATGCTCACTTTATCCGAGGAGTTCAAGATTCCGCTCTCGCTCGCTTAACAGACACCAGGGAGAAGATGGGGAAATACTATGATCGGAAAAGAGACGAACCGCCTAACTTCAAGGTGGGAGACATGGTTATGCTCAATGCGACCAACATCAAGACCCGTCGCTCTACCAAGAAACTCGATCATAAGAAACTCGGCCCGTTCAAAATTGTCCGACTAGCCGGTAAACGAGCCTGCGAACTGGAACTGCCACCGCAAGTCAAAATCCATAACGTGTTCCATATTGAACTCTTGGAACGTTACCGACAGAGCAGTATACCAGGCCGCGAACAACGTCCCCCAACTCCCGAAGAAGTCGATAAGGAAGGAGAGGTTTTGTACGAAGTGGAAAGTATTGTGGGAAGCCGGAAGAGCAGAAAAGGATTAGTGGAATACCTGGTGAAATGACGGGGCTATTCGATGAGCCACTGTACGTACCAAGTCATGGACGTTATGAACGAAGACGTACTTGATCTAGTCCGCGACTTTCATCGAAGGAACCCCAAGGCTGTGAAGGACCAACGCCTGAGACTATAAAGGTACCCCACGGGGCTAAGTCCTTCCCCTCCACAGACACCGCGGGTGATATGTGGAGCAGGTTTACTGGAACCATAGTCTGTCAGAAGATGTCCCGAGACGTGACACCCTGGAAGGGGGGTAAGCTGTTACGGGCATGCCAAGCATTTACGGGAGTGAGAGAAAGGCTAGTAGATAATCCCAATACCCTCTGAAACTAATGGCAACACCACTATCAACTCCGGTTCGCACCCACGAGGTGCGGTGCGATCAATATGCGACCAAATGCGGAGTTGCGGTTTTCCTAGTTCAAAAACACGTTTTCTACCCCAATAATAACCCCCGGAGCGTCAAACCGCCGGAGGGGAGTGTTTTGGTACCGGTGGATATATGAGGGACAGCTGGAATCAATCGGATCGAAGATCGGACCACCCGGAGCGAATCGGCGCAAGCTGCCAGCCGACCGAGTACCTATCGGCGGTACCTGTGGGCATGAGAGGACTCTGCTATGTGGGAAAGCGATGTGGGAAGAGGCCTGAGTAGGTAGCCTTGCCGTCCGAGACCTCCGAATAGCCGACGCTGACGATTATCCACCAGACGGCCGATGGAGAAGAAACATCGACAGGGAAACGTGCATTAGAGTTGATAAATAGGTTGAGGGGTTTCAGCGGCTTTAGGAGTTTGGGTTACGGACTTAGGAGTTAAATGTTCTTGGTTGTTTTTCAGGGTCTCAGGCATGCCCCGAGTGTATGCTGTATTATTAGTAGACTGGGTCCTCGAGACATAAGCGAGGGATATAAATACTGTGTCATTCACTGACTAGCCAAACCATCATCGGCGAAATCAGAGTCTTAACAATATAAATCGTTGATACGCGAGTTACAACTTTATTTGACTATACTTTTGGAAATACTTTATTCTATTGTGACTTCGAACTCTACCTGAACTATTACGTCGAAGACGGTCGAACATCACACGCTAACTCTAGTGAATCTTTGTTGATAACGTAGCTCGCGGGGCCCGTATCGGATCAAGGAGAATCATACTCGATGTTGACTGAAGAGACCTTGGAGACTTCTACCTTTGTAGCTGTTGGCCGAACTCTGAGCTCTGCGTAGTGTACTCTTGTGGTCTGGTACGCATCCCTCACAGGCCGTCATAGACCAGACAAAGTTCTTAGCATCACCCCTGAGACAATCGGTAATGGGTTTACAGACCCCGGAGAAATTGTGGATAAATCTTCTGTAGAAGTTGGCAAAGCCCATGAAGATCTGTACTTCCTTAACGCTGCGCGGGGCTTGCCAATTCGTAACAGACATGACCTTATCCAGTGCCATGGTGACGCCTGCTGGGGCAAGGATATATCCAAGGAACTCGATTTCGGTGAGCTCGAAGAACGATTTCTTCGGGTTGGCGACCAGGTTGTATTCTTGTAGCCTGCTAAGTACTTTGCCGACTAACTCCCTCTGTTCCTCTCGAGACTTGCTATAGATTAGGATATCATCAAGGTATACTACTACACCTTGATCCAAGAATTCCCTCAGCGCATCATTCATCATGTTCTGGAAGGTCGCCGGCGCATTTGCCAGCCCAAAAGGCATAACGAGGTACTCAAAATGCCCGTACCGCGTACGAAAGGCTGTCTTCCACTCGTCGCCGTCTTTGATCCTGATGAGGTTATAACCTTCCTTCAGGTCAATCTTCGAGAAGATAACCGCGCCTGCCACTCGATCTCGCAGCTCGTCCATAAGCGGTAGAGGATACCTGTTCTTGATGGACACACGGTTAAGTCCACGGTAGTCAACGCAAAGTCGCAGACTACCGTCCTTCTTCTTCACAAATAGGATTGGGGCTCCTGCCGGGGATTTGCTCGGCCTAATTTTTCCCAATCGCAACATTTTATCCAGGTACTCCCGAAGCACCTTTAACTCGACTTCGGATAAGGAGTAAACGGATCCCCATGGTGGCTGCTTTCCTGGTTCGAGGTCTATCGCATGGTCATAAGATCGATGCGGTGGTAATTTGTCTGCTCTGATGGTAGGAAGACTTTAAGGAACCCATAGAGCCAAGAGGGAAGAGTTTCACGGAGGTTAACTGATTCATCTTCCAGTAAGCCGATGCTACCGATGAATTGGGCCTCCGGATCGTCCAGTACACCCTCGTCCATTTCTATTTGAGGTTCCTTGTCAGTGAAGCATCGACTCTTGCAGTTCTCACCATCGTAGGAAACTTCCCCATTTGCCCCTAGTACCGGCTTGTGTTCTTTCAACCACCAGTTCGGTAGTATCGCGTCGATGCCAAGTGGGAGAGGGGCGATCTCGAATGACAACTGTGTTTGATGCCCCCTTGACATTATAATTAATGGTTGTGTAAAGGCGTGTCCCGTGCCCTTCATAACTTCTCCCGTAAATCCAAATACCCGGGCCGGGACGTCTCGTTTCACCTTCGGGACCTCAAAACTATCAACAAAAACAGCAGACAAAACAGGACCAGTTGCACCAGTATCCAACAACACCTTACAAGGTAAACATTTTTCCGCAAAACAAAGGAACTGATTAACGATAGGTCGAGGACCGTGAATAGGTTCCTCCAAAATTTTCTGTTTTTTCTCCGGTTGGGACGCTCTCCCTTCCTGCCTTTTTCTTTTCATATTTTTTTTGTTATTTTCCGTCAGTGATAACATAGCAATCTGGGGATACTCCTGACCTGACTCATCAGAGTCCCCTTTTAAAAATCCTCATCGAAATCCATTTCCGATTCCGATCCGCGTTCTCGTACAAACGCTTGCCCACTGGTATACTCCGCAGCAGCCGTAGCAGCCGGCTTTCTAGCACAGTGCCTCATACGCTTTCTCTGAGGTTGGGGTTCCGGTGGTTCCATATCGTGGTCGCCATCGTCATCGCGGGTACGCTTTCGGGAGAAAGAGGAGATAGATGCACTGCTGTTAGCATCTGAACGACACCACTTCCAAAGATGACCCTTTCGGCCACATCGCACACAGGCTCCATCAGTCTTTCGCTGTTCTCTGACTGGCTGTGGAACTCCTTTGGTGGCTTCGTCGTAGTCGTGGTATATTGGCTTATTCCCCGACTTATTTTTGCTGGTGCTCTTCTTATCTTGCCCCTTTTCCTTCTCCTCAGTCTGAGCCCTCCCCTTAATCTTAAACCCCTTCTCCTTCTGCCGCGAGTTCCCACTATTGTTCGGCTCCCTTCCTCTCGACTCCGCTTTCCCCAACATCTTCATCTGCTCCTGATAAGCCTCGTGAGCCTTGCCGGCTCGTTCCAACTGTTGGATGTACTCAGAATCGTCCTCGGTTGGGTCGAAGCGTGAGTGGCGCTCCCGGATTTCATTTGGTAGCCCTTGGAGCAGGGCGGCGCGATAGGATGCTCCTTTCATTTGAGCATGCTGGTTCATGATCTCCATTCTCGTCAGGTAGTCTCCGATGTTAGCAGAGTACTTAAACTGCTGCATCTTCATCGCGTTCTCCATCGCCTCCTGAGTGCTTAAGAAGCGTTTCCTGATCTCTTGACGGAACCGAGTCCAAGTAGCGTAGTCCGCGGCTGCCGGTCGTAGCATCTTGGTCTCGATATATTCCATAAACCATTCCTTTGCCAACCCACACGTATACGTCCCAGCGAACAGTACCTTGTTCCTGTCCGTTCGGAACTTCTTGGGCTTCTGCTCGAAGTAGATCTCGCACTCCATGAGCCAATGCCGCAGGTTATGCTTCCTGGCATTATCGAACTCAAAGGGTATTTTGGCGAGCGAATCTACCATATCGTCGTCTTCAGGCGGCGCCGAATTCCGGTTTCCCCCTCGGTTCGTTCTCCAATTCTTCCGACCGTGCGACCATTCACTGTTGTCGTCGTCATCGTCATCGGAAGGTTCTAGATCTCCCCCAACGTTTCCTCTTGGTGGGTTTCGGGGAGGTAGCTTTCCACCATTCCCGCCGACGGGGGCAGCTCCCACCGGTCTCCTACCACTATTTCCCTGCACTGGGCCGGGATCCTCCGGTTGCCTGCCTCCATTTCCTCCTACGGGACCAGCATTTCCTCCTACTGGGCCAGCGTTTCCTCCTACTGGGCCAGCATTTTCGGGGTTCTTGCCATTGCCCACAGGAACCGTTTGGGGTGCATTAGGGTCCAAGGGTATACTCACCATGGAGGGTGCCACCGACAAATGTTGTCGTAGACGTTCCTCCATCTCGGCTATTCGTTGGTTTCTTACGTCGTCGGATTGCTTAAATTGTACCAACAGTTCCCGCTGTTCCCTTTTTTCCTGCTCTCGCTCTTCTCTTGCAACTCTCAGCTGTCGTTCCGCCTCCAACAGTTGGTTCTGGATAATTCGATGGTTACGGTCCAGAATCTCGTGGTCGGCGGCTCGTGCGGCTTCCTGTACTTGCCGGACATTTTCGACGAGCTCAAAGAGCGATTCAAGATGTTGCTTCTGGGCGATGGCTTCTTGCCGTGCTTTCTTATCCAGGATCTGCCCACTCCCCTGCACTTGTTCCTGGAGGTTTTGTAGCTGCTGCCAAACGGCCTGTCCAGCTGTACCAAGATACCTCATTTGTGCCTCATGGGTATCCAAAAACTCCTGCATGGACCTCGTAAACTGGGCTTGAGTAGAGCGTTTACTCGTTGACCTAGTTTGTGTAGCGGGTCCTCCCTGGAGTAGGGGATCGGGGCTAACAGCCCCAGATAGTACCATAGCATCCTCTGCGGCCTCGTCTGTTACGGCCGAGGTGTCTACGAAATAATCCCTTCGGCCAGCCATTGTGGTAAGGGATAATGATGATAGTTCTTCTTTTTTGAGGTGACTTCGTTACTCCAAGTGAACTTGTGAGTAACAATATACTGTGAGGGATGCGTACCAGACCACAAGAGTACACTACGCAGAGCTCAGAGTTCGGCTAACAGCTACAAAGGTAGAAGTCTCCAAGGTCTCTTCAGTCAACGTCGAGTATGATTCTCCTTGGTCCGATACGGGCCCCGCGAGCTACGTTATCAACAAAGATTCACTAGAGTTAGCGTATAGTATTCGACCGTCTTCGACGTAGTAGTTCAGGTAGAGTTCGAAGTCACGATAGAGCAAAATAATTCCCAAAGTATAGTCAAATAAAGTTGTAACTCGCGTATCAACGATTTATATTGTTAAGACTCTGATTTCGCCGATGATGGTTTGGCTAGTCAGTGAATGACACAGTATTTATATCCCTCACTTATATCTCGAGGACCCAGTCTACTAATAATACAGAATACACTCGGGGCCTACCCGAGACCCTGAAAAACAACCAAGAACATTTAACTCCTAAGTCCGTAACCCAAACTCCTAAACTATAACGGGGACTATGGGCGTAGGAACTATGAAGCCAAGGAATACAACCGAGGCGAAGACGTGGACGTAGGAGGTTCGTGGACTATGGACTATGGAGCCGAAGGGTACACCTAAGGCAAGAACGGGGACTGTGGACTATGGACTATGGATGGTTGTACCTGGTCTAGTATACCGGGTAAACCCTATGACGTAGCGCGAACCAAATAGTATTCGTGACTGTAAAGTACAGAGGTTACATAAAGAGAAAAGGAAAAGAAAGAGAAACAAGAAATCACGAGACAACGCCCCCCTTATATATCCATACCCTATCCCAATGCTGACTCATACTCTCGCGTAACAGAAACAGAAAGAACATAATAGAAACCCACTTCGCTAAACCCAACCACACTGCATAACCCTTCCTATTGGTACCCTAACACCTCGCATGACCAAACCACATGGCTACCGTTACAGACCACTCCCCCCTCTACGGCCTACCTCCTGGTAGGCTTAGGCTTCCGTGGATATCGTTTGTGAAATCGTTTGACAATATCGGGCGAATGTTCGAAATCCGACAATGGCTGCCACGAAGCTTCGTCATAACCGGCATACTTAACCAAGTATTCAAATCTTCCCCGACGATCCCTGGAATCCAAAATATCCTCGACTTCCCACTCCTCCTGTCCTTCAACTTCGACCGGCGGTGGTGGTAACTGTTGTTGTCCTGGTAAAGGATCGTTTGCTGCAGACGACAATAAAGAGACATGGAATACGGGATGAACTTTCATGGAACGAGGAAGTTCCAACTCACAGGCATAAGGACTAACGATCCGCTTCACGATGTATGGTCCAATGCGTTTCCAATCAAGTTTCTTCGATGGTCGTTTGGTGAGGACATGGCGTGTTGATAAGAAAACTCGATCTCCTACTCGATAGTGAGGTGCTGGAGTTCGACGTATATTGGCGGACTCTTCTTGAATCCTTTGCGCTCGAAATAATTCATCCTTTAGAAAATCCAATATATCCTTCATCTCCCTTGCAATACTATTGGCCTGATCCTCCGCTGTCGTCCTACCATGTTCCAAAGGACCAAAAGTCATTCTTGGATTCCTCCCTGAGTTGGCGTAAAATGGAGAGATTCTCGTCGTTTCAGAAGCATGGTTATTTGTTGCAAACTCGGCCATTGGCAACCATCGAACCCAGTCGTCCTGTTGATAAGAAACATAACTTCGAAGGTATTGTTCCATCACAGCATTGATTCTTTCCGTTTGTCCATCCGTCTGGGGGTGAAACGCTGTAGAGAATTTTGGCGATATTTCCAAACGATCGCAAAGTGACCTCCAGAATTCCGCAACAAATTGTGTTCCTCGATCAGATACCATAGTTTCAGGGAGTCCATGTAATTTCCAAACATTATCGATATATAACCTCGCTACTTCTTTTGAATCCGCCTCTTTAGTTGTGGGTATGAAATGTCGCATTTTGGTTAGTCTATCCACCACAACTAGAATTGCATTGTACCCATCACTCTCCGGAAGGTCTGTGACAAAATCCATCGATACATCCATCCATGGTCCATCAGGTATTGGCATAGGTCGGAGTACTCCGTAGGGCGCATTGCGTGATGCCTTGCTACGGGCACACACATTGCAATTCCTAACATACTGATCGACATAATTTCGCATTCGTGGCCAGTACTATTCTCGATTCAGGAGTTCCAAAGTCTTTGCTCTGCCTGGATGGCCTGCCGATGGGTTATCATGGTATTCTTTTAGAAGTTTTATTCGAAGGTCATTGTCGTCCGGTACGTAGAGTGCGCCACGATAAAGTAGCCGACCATTGTTGTCCTCCGTACATTCAGCAAGTGAAATTTTATTCGAATGGCGAACGCCATTCCGAAGCATCGCAAGGACTTTGTTCGGGAAACTGTCAACTTGATAAGCATTTGAAAACAACTCTTCTACAGTGGACATTCCTTCAGCGGATTCATTTGAAAAAGAACCCGCGAACAAACTTAGCTTTGAATCCAAATTTTTTCGCTTCAAAACCACCTGGCTTTGATGCGTCAACCGTTCATCCCCCTCCTTAGGTAGGTCACCCGACTTCCTAGTCAATGCATCCGGCTTTGCTCCTTGTTTCCCTGGTCTAAATTGAATGACAAAATCGAAACGTGAAAGAAATTCCGACCAACGGGCTTGTCGACGGTTTAATAACTTTGTTGACATGAAATATTCGAGGTTCCGATGGTCGCTAAGAACTTCAATTGGGAATTGTGCCCCCTCTAAATAATGTCGCCATTCCTCAAAACATCGTACGATTGCCAGGAGTTCTTTGTCATAGATCTCATAGTTACATTCCGCAGGGGAATGTTTCTTAGAGAAGAAAGCGACTGGATGTAGAATTCCTTCGTCGTCACGTTGGGACAGAATTCCAGCAGAAACATAGTCAGATGCATCGGTTTCTACCACGATTTTCCGATCCGGATCAAAGTGCATTAGTATGGGTGCCGTTGTGAACATCCTTTTCAATGTCTGGAATGCTTCCTCCCTTTCATCCGTCCATTCAAATTTAACATTTTTCTTGGTCAGAGCTGTAAGCGGAGCAACAATTTTTGAATACCCTAAAATAAAACGCCGATAGAAATTCGCAAATCCCAGAAATACTTGAATATCATGGAGATTCCTTGGTGTGGACCATTCCAAAACATCGACAACTTTCTTTGGATCCATCCTATTCCCATCCGGGGTGAGAATAAGGCCGAGATACTTCGTTTCCTGGACTATAAATTCACATTTCTCAGGCTTAAGGTGAACATGACTCTCATCAAGTACCTTCAAAACCTTTCGAATGTGCTCTTTGTGTTCTGCCAGGGTTTCCGAGTAGATAAGAATGTCATCTAGGTATGCTGTCACAAATTGGTCGAGGTATGGTCGTAAAATATCATTGATCCAGTGTTGGAACGTAGCAGGGGCATTAGCTAATCCGAACGGCATTACAGTATACTCGAAATGTCCATAACGAGTCCTAAATGCCGTTTTCCATTCGTCTCCCTCCGCTACCCTGATCTGATTGTATCCCCAACGTAGATCCAACTTGGTATAGTACTGTGCCTTCGAAAGTTTAGCCAAAGTTTCCTTTAACAGTGGTAATGGGTACCGATTTTTGATCGTGATCGCATTGAGGCCTCGGTAATCCACACATAGTCGGAGAGTTCCATCACTTTTCTTTACGAATAGTATGGGTGCTCCCGCTGGCGACTCACTGGCTCGAATGAATCCCTTAGGTAGATTTTTGTCAAGGTATTCTCGTAGTGCTTTCAATTCAACCTGGGATAATCCATATATCGGTCCGTACGGTGGTCGTTTACCTTCCTCCAATATGATCTCAATATCATGTGACGGCCGATGTGGTGGAAGGACTGAAGCATCATATTCTTGGAACATATGGAGACGATGGTGGAACTCCTTTGGTACTAGTTGCTTGACGTCGACGGTGGATTCCTCAACTGCTGAAACGACAACAGTATGATGTTCCGGTGGAGGGATCGATATTCCATGGACAGTGACTGTCGTTCCACTGAGTGAACAGTGTTGACAACAGCTTCGAGAGTCAAAAATAAGTAGATTATTTTTTGGCCGAATGGTGACATCGTGCCGTCGCATCCACGGTATTCCCATCACGATCGGATAATGTCCCAACTTTGTAACGAAACATGAGGCAATTTCTCGGTGACCATGAATATCTAGTGAAACATCGACAATGTGGGTAATTTCTCCTGACTGGATAGGTCTTCCATCCATAACATCTACCTGGCGAAATTTCCTAAGGGGGGTCATTGCAAGATTGTTGTGACGTACAAAGGATTCTGTGAGGGATGCGTACCAGACCACAAGAGTACACTACGCAGAGCTCAGAGTTCGGCTAACAGCTACAAAGGTAGAAGTCTCCAAGGTCTCTTCAGTCAACGTCGAGTATGATTCTCCTTGATCCGATACGGGCCCCGCGAGCTACGTTATCAACAAAGATTCACTAGAGTTAGCGTATAGTATTCGACCGTCTTCGACGTAGTAGTTCAGGTAGAGTTCGAAGTCACGATAGAGCAAAATAATTCCCAAAGTATAGTCAAATAAAGTTGTAACTCGCGTATCAACGATTTATATTGTTAAGACTCTGATTTCGCCGATGATGGTTTGGCTAGTCAGTGAATGACACAGTATTTATATCCCTCACTTATATCTCGAGGACCCAGTCTACTAATAATACAGAATACACTCGGGGCCTACCCGAGACCCTGAAAAACAACCAAGAACATTTAACTCCTAAGTCCGTAACCCAAACTCCTAAACTATAACGGGGACTATGGGCGTAGGAACTATGAAGCCAAGGAATACAACCGAGGCGAAGACGTGGACGTAGGAGGTTCGTGGACTATGGACTATGGAGCCGAAGGGTACACCTAAGGCAAGAACGGGGACTGTGGACTATGGACTATGGATGGTTGTACCTGGTCTAGTATACCGGGTAAACCCTATGACGTAGCGCGAACCAAATAGTATTCGTGACTGTAAAGTACAGAGGTTACATAAAGAGAAAAGGAAAAGAAAGAGAAACAAGAAATCACGAGACAACGCCCCCCTTATATATCCATACCCTATCCCAATGCTGACTCATACTCTCGCGTAACAGAAACAGAAAGAACATAATAGAAACCCACTTCGCTAAACCCAACCACACTGCATAACCCTTCCTATTGGTACCCTAACACCTCGCATGACCAAACCACATGGCTGCCGTTACAGACCACTCCCCCCTCTACGGCCTACCTCCTGGTAGGCTTAGGCTTCCGTGGATATCGTTTGTGAAATCGTTTGACAATATCGGGCGAATGTTCGAAATCCGACAATGGCTGCCACGAAGCTTCGTCATAACCGGCATACTTAACCAAGTATTCAAATCTTCCCCGACGATCCCTGGAATCCAAAATATCCTCGACTTCCCACTCCTCCTGTCCTTCAACTTCGACCGGCGGTGGTGGTAACTGTTGTTGTCCTGGTAAAGGATCGTTTGCTGCAGACGACAATAAAGAGACATGGAATACGGGATGAACTTTCATGGAACGAGGAAGTTCCAACTCACAGGCATAAGGACTAACGATCCGCTTCACGATGTATGGTCCAATGCGTTTCCAATCAAGTTTCTTCGATGGTCGTTTGGTGAGGACATGGCGTGTTGATAAGAAAACTCGATCTCCTACTCGATAGTGAGGTGCTGGAGTTCGACGTATATTGGCGGACTCTTCTTGAATCCTTTGCGCTCGAAATAATTCATCCTTTAGAAAATCCAATATATCCTTCATCTCCCTTGCAATACTATTGGCCTGATCCTCCGCTGTCGTCCTACCATGTTCCAAAGGACCAAAAGTCATTCTTGGATTCCTCCCTGAGTTGGCGTAAAATGGAGAGATTCTCGTCGTTTCAGAAGCATGGTTATTTGTTGCAAACTCGGCCATTGGCAACCATCGAACCCAGTCGTCCTGTTGATAAGAAACATAACTTCGAAGGTATTGTTCCATCACAGCATTGATTCTTTCCGTTTGTCCATCCGTCTGGGGGTGAAACGCTGTAGAGAATTTTGGCGATATTTCCAAACGATCGCAAAGTGACCTCCAGAATTCCGCAACAAATTGTGTTCCTCGATCAGATACCATAGTTTCAGGGAGTCCATGTAATTTCCAAACATTATCGATATATAACCTCGCTACTTCTTTTGAATCCGCCTCTTTAGTTGTGGGTATGAAATGTCGCATTTTAGTTAGTCTATCCACCACAACTAGAATTGCATTGTACCCATCACTCTCCGGAAGGTCTGTAACAAAATCCATCGATACATCCATCCATGGTCCATCAGGTATTGGCATAGGTCGGAGTACTCCGTAGGGCGCATTGCGTGATGCCTTGCTACGGGCACACACATTGCAATTCCTAACATACTGATCGACATAATTTCGCATTCGTGGCCAGTACTATTCTCGATTCAGGAGTTCCAAAGTCTTTGCTCTGCCTGGATGGCCTGCCGATGGGTTATCATGGTATTCTTTTAGAAGTTTTATTCGAAGGTCATTGTCGTCCGGTACGTAGAGTGCGCCACGATAAAGTAGCCGACCATTGTTGTCCTCCGTACATTCAGCAAGTGAAATTTTATTCGAATGGCGAACGCCATTCCGAAGCATCGCAAGGACTTTGTTCGGGAAACTGTCAACTTGATAAGCATTTGAAAACAACTCTTCTACAGTGGACATTCCTTCAGCGGATTCATTTGAAAAAGAACCCGCGAACAAACTTAGCTTTGAATCCAAATTTTTTCGCTTCAAAACCACCTGGCTTTGATGCGTCAACCGTTCATCCCCCTCCTTAGGTAGGTCACCCGACTTCCTAGTCAATGCATCCGGCTTTGCTCCTTGTTTCCCTGGTCTAAATTGAATGACAAAATCGAAACGTGAAAGAAATTCCGACCAACGGGCTTGTCGACGGTTTAATAACTTTGTTGACATGAAATATTCGAGGTTCCGATGGTCGCTAAGAACTTCAATTGGGAATTGTGCCCCCTCTAAATAATGTCGCCATTCCTCAAAA